TGAGAACAGTCGGGCGGTGATTGGGGAAGGGCAAGCAAAGCACGAGGTTGGGAGGGAGCTTTCTCTCCTTGGGCCTGCCCATAGCCTTGACTGACACGACACAGTCCTTGCCAAAACCCATCAATCAAGTAAAATGTCTTTGGAAACCTTGCAACCCACCCTTAAAACTGCTGGGCATAGGAATACAATTGCTTGCCCTAAATAAGTGACTTATCATTGCCCTTGGTTGTCTGAGTTTCTCTTTAATTATAGGCCCTCTTTGAACACTCAAAAACACAGGGCCTTTGTAAACTTGAATTCTCTCCCTCTCACACACAATCCTCCCATATGCGTACTCTCCCTTTCATTTACAGAGTATAAACACCCATCTCTTACTCACATAATGAATTTCAGCTCCCTGTGTCTCAATTAAGGAAGGGCCCCAGTTGATTATGGGCATCTGAGCCGCCTTTCTGTTCCAAGGCCCCAGGGGCCCTTCTAAGAGTGGACCTCTCCCAGCTTTTTCTTTCCTTGACAGTAGAATTGTATACATGAGCAGCCACTTCCCTAGGAAAATCCCCAAATTCTTCCATACCACCCCCTTTATGCTTAAAATCATTGCACGCTCCCCTCTCTTGTCCTCTCCTCTTGCAAACTCAACTTACTTCCCTAGGAAAATCCCCAAATTCTTCCATACCACCCCCTTTATGCTTAAAATCATTGCATGCTCCCCTCTCCTGTCCTCTCCTCTTGCAAACTCAATTCGGAGCCCTTTGGATTTTCTAGGTAACAGGAGAATAGGAAACCCTCCTTCCTTTCCTTGTCTTTCTTCCTTGTTGGAAGAAAGAAGTTGATTTTGTGGAGAGATAAGGAGGATCTTGAGATCTGGAGCCAGCAGTGGGGCTCCTCAGGCTTTTCTCCAAACTAGATGGAAACGTCCGGCTCTGTCCGTTGTGTCTCATCCACCTGATCCACACTCGGCCTCCTGCTCCAGCACCCTCTCCAACACTGGGTCAAGGATCAAATGAGATAATGCCATAGAAGAAGCACCATCTGGTTTTTCTACTGTCCACCAGGCCCTTGGCCCCTTCCTGGCAGGCAGAAAACCTCTTTCCCTGGCACCTGCAGCCCTGCACCTGCTCTCCACATTCCTGCCAGGTGCTGGACGCAGGTAAGTTTTACTGAGGGTTCATCTCGCCTCCTCAAACCCCGATCAGTAGCATTCGCCTACTTAGGTGATGTGAATACTTCCACCAGGACCTAATTCAAGCACCCATGTGATGTCCCCGAGTGGGAAGATGCAGAATAGCACATCATTCAGCGTTTCCTTCATAATTCCACCTCCTTCTGCTCTCTTTTCTGGGAGCTGCGGACCATCCAGAGGGCTGGTGGGGCTGGTGGTACCGGTAGCTCAAGAACACAGATCATAGTCAAATAATTAGGAAGTGATGGGTTTTGAGTATTTATTACCATTGTTTAAAAATACAATTTATTTTACAAAGGAAGGTATTCTGGAAAAAAAGAAAAATATGTAATTTATTTAATTGTAAGTTTATATAATTTAATTTTTGATAATGGCTGTGTTTAACAGCTGGCTGGCAAAATGCTTAAAAATTTAACAGTCTGCAGCCAACCCATTTAGTACACCACTGTTCCAGGGCAGACCGTGGCCTACGGCAGCCCTAGGTTCCAGAGGGCTCTCCATGTTCCTGGGAAGTTGCTGTTCTGGAAACAGGACATTTACAAAGGGAATTCTTGGTTCTGGGTCTTTCAGGGGACTCTGTGATTAAGAAACAGCAGGGATGTTGCAACAGGAGGGATGAGGTGGGCCTGAGAGAGGGGTCAGTGATGGGTCTTCATTCCTAACTCCTGACCCGAGCTGACTTGAAATAAAGGATAAGATCCAGGGAGTGGACAGATGTCTGCAGAGGCACAAGTAACTGACGTGCCGGGGCACTGGGGCATAACCGAGGGCAAACCGCGAACCGGGAGACTCCGGCGCTGGTTTCTCTGGCCAGCCCACGCCTCCCGCCTCAGCTCAACGCCACTCCCTCCCCGCCAAGTGGCTCTCCGCTCCGGAGGCGGGACCGAGTTCTCCGGTGGCCCCTGGAGGCTCCGGGCTGTGAGCTCTGGGAGGCTGGGAAGGGAGAGAAGGGAGGGGCGCTGACTGGGCAGTCCAAAGAGGAGGGGGCCTTTAATAGGCTCGCCCAGCGCCTGGTTTGCTGCGCCGCGAGTGGCTGAGGTTCCGAGAAGCCGCCCGGCACCTCCCGCTAGTTGTCGGCTGCAAATTTTCGTCCTTGCACTTGACAGCGATTGTGTTTAAGCTCCCAGGGCGCGCTTGGCTTGGGAAGCACAGGTAGGAGGCGCGGGCTGCCGGGTGCACGCTCGCTGCTCTGGGAGGAGTCTCCCTCCCTTTGCTCGTCTTACTGGGAGCTGCCGGCTCTCCCGGAGCATTAGCGGCTCCGGGGTGCGGGATGCAAGGAGCCGAGCCCCTTCCCGGAGCGCGGCTGTGCGCTCCCGGCGCCATGCTTCTGCTGGGCATCTTAACGCTGGCTCTCGCCGGGCGGTCCGCTGGCGGCTCCGAGCCAGAGCAGGAGGTGGTCGTTCCCATCCGACTGGATCCGGACATTAACGGCCGCCACTACTACCGGCGGGGTCCGGAGGACTCGGGGGATCAGGGACTCATTTTTCAAATCACAGCATTTCAGGAGGATTTTTATCTACACCTGACGCCAGATGCTCAGTTCCTGGCGCCCGCCTTCGCCACGGAGCATCTGGACGTCCCCCTCCAGGGGCTCACCGCGAACTCTCCAGACCTGCGACGCTGCTTCTACTCCGGGGACGTGAACGTACCGGCGGGGTCCGGAGGACTCGGGGGATCAGGGACTCATTTTTCAAATCACAGCATTTCAGGAGGATTTTTATCTACACCTGACGCCAGATGCTCAGTTCCTGGCGCCCGCCTTCGCCACGGAGCATCTGGACGTCCCCCTCCAGGGGCTCACCGCGAACTCTCCAGACCTGCGACGCTGCTTCTACTCCGGGGACGTGAACGCCGAGCCAGATTCGTTCGCCGCTGTGAGCCTGTGCGGGGGGCTACGCGGAGCCTTCGGCTACCGAGGCGCCGAGTATGTCATTAGCCCGCTGCCCAACGCCAGCGCGCCCGCGGCGCAGCACAACAGCCAGGGCGCACACCTTCTCCAGCGCCGGAGTGTCCCGGGCGGGCCTACCGGAGACCCCACCTCTCGCTGCGGGGTGGGCTCAGGCTGGAACCCCACCATCCTGCGGGCCCTGGACCCTTACAAGCCGCGGCGGACAGGCTCGAGGGACAGTCGCAGTCGGCGCAGGTCCGGGCGCGCCAAGCGCTTCGTGTCTATCCCGCGGTACGTGGAGACGCTGGTGGTGGCGGACGAGTCAATGGTCAAATTCCATGGCGCGGACTTGGAGCATTATCTGCTGACCCTGCTGGCCACGGCGGCGCGACTCTACCGCCATCCCAGCATCCTTAACCCCATTAACATCGTTGTGGTCAAGGTGTTGCTTCTCGGAGACCGTGACGCCGGGCCCAAGGTCACGGGCAACGCGGCCCTTACGCTGCGCAACTTCTGCGCCTGGCAGAAGAAGCTGAACAAAGTGAGCGACAAGCACCCTGAGTACTGGGACACCGCCATCCTCTTCACCAGGCAGGTGAGTTGATCTGTCACTTCTCTGGACCCAGATAGCCTCATTCGCTTAAGATCACCGCCCTTAGCTCTCCAAACCCCCTTTGTGCTGCGCAATGCCCCCCAGTTTAAGTTTCACTGATCTCTTTCCACTCCAACTTTGGAGCTTCCAGGGAGAACTCTCTCCCAGGCTCAGCGGCGCCCCGGCTCACGTGCATCTGCGCTGTTGGTGGAAAGCCGGATCCTTCCGAAGGTGTTGGCCTGGGGTGGCCAATCAGCGCCTCCTGGATCCGGCGCCGAGGGGCAGGAACCCAGGAAGTTGCCGCCCCGGAGCCGCAGTTTGCCTCCAAGGCCGATAGGAGGCGCTATGAGGATGGTGTTGGAGAGGGCGGGAGCGACCCACCCCTATTGTATGGGGCATTTAAATCCTCTCAAGACATCTCCGAGGCTCCCTTTCACTGTCAACTGGAAGGTGATCCAAGGTCAGCGCCTGCTACATTTCTCTTGGGCAACATGTTATCTCCTCCCTTTGTCCTAGGCCTGGAAAACCTGGATTGGGATGAAGGGAATCATTGGGATATTCTATGGGTTGCAGTGAAAGGCCAGACTCAAGTACTGCGAGCATCCCTCTGTCATTGCTGCTTCTCCTAGAACCTTCTCTGCTGGGTCTTGTCCAGGGGCTTCCAGACCGTTCAGAGCAGGCAATTTAGTTAGGGCACCTGTTTGGAGCCGGGACTGTTTCACTTGGAGCTTCAAGTGAAGTTTCACTTGGAGCTTAGTTGGGAAAAATCTCTTCCAATTTTCCTGTATCCTTGCTGGCACACGGTGACCCGTTTGCCCAGATGTATACTCGGGAGCAGAGCAGGCAAGGTTGCTGAAGCTCCCGGCTCACTAAAATTCCTGTGACTTGACTGCAGGGCTCCAGCGTTTGCCCTTGCTGGGATGGAAGTGTTGTAAGCTTAGTCAAGAGCATGTGGAGACTCCAACTGCAGGGTTGGAAAGATACTGAGTACTGGGATTAGAAAGATGGACCCAAGCCAAAAACCGCTCTGCCTTTTGCAGGTTTTTATCTGATATTCTATCTCAA